TTCTTTCTTTCTTTCTTTCTTTCTTTTCTTTCTTTCTTTCTTTCTTGACAGGGTTTCTCTTTGTAAGCCTTGCTGCCTGGACTCCCTTTGACCTATAACTCTCGAAGATCCTCCAGCCTCTGCCTCCTTGAGTGCTAGTATTACAGGCCTGTGCCACCACTCCTGGCACACGTATCTGTTTTTAACCCAGTGTCATTCTGGTTTTTGTTACTGTGACTCTCTAGTATATTTTCAAAATCAAATATTGTGCCTCCAATATTGCTGTTTATTCAGGATTACATTTGGCTTTTCCTTGTTTTTGTGATGTCATGTGAATCTCAAAAAATCCTTTTTCATTGTGTCAAGAATGCCATTGGTATTTTATAGGGATTGCATTGACTCTATAGCTCACTTTCAATAATGTGGCCCTTTAAACAATGCTGTATTGCCAATCTTTGATTGTAAGAAGTCCTATTTTTAGTTTCTTCAGTTTCTTTCTTCAGTGGCTTTTAATTTTCATTGCAGAGGTCTCTCATCTCCTTACCATGAATGGAATTGTTTTTTATAGTTTCTTTGTTAGCAGGTTTATTACCAGTGAATAGAAAACTACTGATTTTTGTAGCCTGTTACCAACTATATGTGGGGACACATGCCTTTAACCCCAGTACTTGGGAGGCAGAGGTAGGCTGTTCTGTGTGAGTTTGAGGTGCACGGGTTCCATCTTTTCTTCTAGACTCTTTATCTACTCAGGACATGTACCCATGCAGTGCCTGGCTTTTCTTCCCTTCCCCCTAGAAGGGCAGGTCTGTCTTTTGCCAGTTATGCCCCACTAAGGATGATGGGGCTGGAGGTGGGGGTGGGGGCTGAGGGCACTGAGGATTATGTCCCATCCTTTCTTACGTTCATCCACCCAATAAGCACTTCTTGGTGAGTTTACTTGATATTGGGCACCTTGCTGGGCACTGTGATTATAGCTGTGACTTAGCATTGTGAACTTTGCATTTTTGCGACAGGCTAGAACAAAAATACAGGTGATGAGAGAGTGAAAGGGATGAGTGGACAGTGACAGTTCTGGAGATGCAGGCATCAAGGATCACGGAGTGGGGGGCAGAAAAGGTCCTGCAAATGACTGCAGAATGAACTGAAGAGTTACTAGCCTGAATGTTCTCTGTACTCATGCTGAGGCCCTTATGTGAGGGCCTGTGATGTGGTGAGGCTGGGACCGTTTGTCATGAGCCTTTGTATTTCTTGTCCTAGGAATGGCCACGCTCTACTGGCGTTCATGTTCTCTCGACAGGAAAGCAAGCTGAACCGCCAGCAGACCATGGAGCTCGGCCACCACATCCTGAAGGCACACATCTTCAAGGTGAGGTGTGCGTGAACTCTGTGGTTTGAAGATTTTAGACAGGTCCGTAGGCCATCACAGAGATGTCTGTGAGCCCTGCGTCCATTCCCTATTTCAATACTAATAAAAGAACCTGAATTCCATGGCCTGTATCATCTCGTATTGCCTGGGTTCTTGGACCCTCCTTGTTTCTCAAAATGACATTTGATGTGTACCCTTTCCCCCTAGATTTCCTGTCTAGGTAGGTATGTTGAGAGCCATGGTTCTCAACCTTTCTAATGCTGTGACCCTTTAATACAGTTCCTTTTGGTATGATAACCCCCAACCGTAAAATTATTTCATTGTTACGTTGTAACTGTAATTTGCCACTGTTATAAATCGAACTGTGTTTTCTGATGGTCTTAGGCAAACTCTGTGAAAGGGTTGCTTGACTCCCAAAGGGTTGTGACCCACAGGTTGAGAACTGCTGGTCTAGAGCCTTTACCAGGCTTGAGGTTTTTGTGTTTGTTTTGTTTTTTTCTTTCCTCTTCCCCCTTGCAAAGTATCAAGATTACAGTGGTGAAAATATTCTGCATCAGTATCAGAGTGCTGAGCTTGCCTCTTATTTTAGTGCCACCCTCCTTTACTGGCCCTGCCTAGACGCCTTCATTCATTAGGAGTTGGAGACGGTGATTCTCTAGCTTTATCATTTATTGTTCCTCTGGTTTCCTACTGCAGAAGGATGCTTTCTCCTTATAGGTTCTCATTCTCTCTCTCTCTCTCGTATAGTTCACAGGGCTGTGATTTTCTGACCTTGTTAGCGCACAGGCCGAGGTGTCCTTCTGTATATGTCACTGTCTGCACGGAGCACCTCCGCAGTGTGCTGGACAGGTTCACTCTCAAACTGGTGCTGCCTTTGCTTGTCTCCAGGGCCTTAGTAAGAAGACTGGCGTCTCCTCAAGCCATCTGCAGGCCCTGTGGATCGGCTACAGCGCTGAGGGGCTGTCTGCTGCGCTGGCCTCTCTCAGGAATCTCTACACTCCCAACGTGAAGGTGAGCAGCCTCTGCACAAGGACCTCGCCCATTTCTCCTCTGCCAGCCAGCGTGGCTCCAGGGAGGGCAAAGGTTCTGGTGATGGCTTCCCCTCCTCCACATTACACGCTTCCCCCTTGAGGTCCGGTTTTGCTCCTGCAGGGAGATAGAGGTACATGGAGCTTTTGTGTTAGCCCATAGTGACCATTTCAGAGAGGAGGTGACAAGGAGGAAGTTCACAGAAAAAACTGAAGGTCGGAGAGCTTGGCAGGGAAACTGGATTTTTAGTGTCCTGAATTACTATAAGAACTGATAACACAGGATGATGGGCCATAGAAAGCTATCTGCAGGTTCAGGGAACACATGACATACATTTCTGGCAGTGGAAAGAGTGTTAGGTTGGTTGTGTACTGAGCTGAGAACTTCTTGCTCTGTGGTCAGTGGCTCTCCTGTGCTATTTTTGCTATACTTTTGCAGAAAGATTTTCTTTCCCCATTTACAGATTGTATAACACAGTCTTAGAATCAAAGTCAGACCTTAGGCCACACAAAAGCGTCCAGCCCCAGACCCTGACATGCCCTGCTACTGAAACTCTGGGCCTCTTTCCCAGCTGACTGAGTCTTCACAGGAAACCACTATGAGGTGATAACTGTACCTGCTCCTCTCTCATATTAACCCTGAGGAAGCCTAGTGTGGCCATCCTGAGAGAGGAGGCAAGGCCTGGCTTGGGTTTCAGGTAGTTGGCGTCCACCTCACCTCAGGAAAGTGGTTACCTGCACCAGAGATGGAGACATGGGGAGCACTGCCAGATATGTGGTGCCTCTCCTCCCTCCCGCTGACTCCCCAGGCCCCCAATACTTCCGCTGGCCCTGGCTCAGAAGTCTGGACTTGAGGAGCCTTCCCCATTAGTTGGTGCTATTCTGCCTTCTTCTTGTCCCTGTTGAGTTTGAAGAGTGGGGTTATGGTGTGCCCAAGGACCATGGGTATCAGGGAGGGCCTAGCAGTGGGTGAGTCCGGGGGGATGACCCAGAGCCTGACTGGCCAGTGTAGGGCCTTGGTGTGGAAAGAGGGTGTATTGCCCCTGGGTGGATACAGACAGCATTTGCAATGATAAAAATGCTGCCTGTGTCCCCATGGCCCACTGCCATCTGTGGGTCTTCAGCTTTGACTCACCCCCTTATCTGGGCACCTTCACATGGCACTAGAACTGTGTGCTCCCGGGGACCCCTGCATATGTCCTCTCCCTCCAGGCGCCAAGCTTTCGATACTTTTGTCCTGACTGAGCCTCGAATGCAGGTTTTCTTAAGTGGGTGGGCAAGAAGCCATTTCTGTAATGCAGGAGAAGCAGGTCACCCTGTTTTCCCTTGTCCCAGGTAACCCTTGCTTTCCAGATGGTTCCCCCCCCCAAAAAAAAAGTGGATAGCTCTAAATTTAGAAGTCACATAAAGATAGCTATGTCATAATTTTTTTCCACTTGGGCTTTATAAAAAATTGGGTTTAGGTTACTATACCATTGGTCGTCTTTCTGACGATAGCAACATGGCTTTGGCTTCTCTGTAGAATTAATAAATTATAAAAGAAAAGTAGTAAGCTGGCAGTGTCTGTTTTCACTACTTTAATGAATTCATGGGCATAGAGGTTAGCTTATGTAGGCTGTTAAGTGTGGAGAGGAGTGACGGGAAATGTCACACTCTCTTGAGCACGGGTTTTCAAGACAGTGGATTAAAAGGCTTCACTCTCCAGGCTGTCAGCTTTCCTCATATCATGCTGGCAATTTTAAGTTGTTCATTTGTACTTTGTTTTATAAAATTCCAATGTTACCTACCCCTGCACCATCCTCAGATTTATGCATCTTGAATCTAGAATCTTAAGTCCTTCCATTATCTTCCCGTTTTGTCTTTGTAAGTCTTTGATGAGGGAGAAAACGGTTTTCACAGAATATTGGACAAATTACAGTAATTTAAAATTATGCATGCAATTAAGGAACTGTTTTTAGAGAGTATTAACTGTTGTCACACAGGAATGAATGTCATTTTGAAAATAATTGCAGTTTGCCACTTTGGCAAATTAAAATGACTTGCTCTGAAATGAGGGCTTGGTGATTTCAGAAGTGTGCTGGTGATTGGCAGCCCTGTGGCCTCAGTCGCTGGGACCGAGGTCAGGCCAGCCTGTACCTGTGTGACCCACTGGGATCCTTGCCACCCAAGCCTCCGGGCTCCTGCCCAGCTGGTTGTTTTGCTCAAGTGTTGTCATCTGGCTGTGCCAGTCCCTGCCTGTAGACACTGGTAGCACTTGGCTTCTGGTCTTTTGCTCAGCTGAAAGGAGAGGAGACTAGGAAGGAGGCAGGGACATGGCCTGCCTTCCCTTGGCTGGGCTCAGGGAGATTGTACTCTTTATCACAGTCAAGGAGGACACACTCTTCAACGGCCCTTCTTCTGTAAACTCCCACTAGTACATGGCTGCTTAGCCTGGGCTGGCTGGCACTTCTTCAGGACCTTGTCAGTGGTTCTCCGCCACCCTTCTGTGTTTTCGTAAGTTGCTCGGTGGTCTTGCCCCTTCCAAGTGTAAAGAGAGCTCTGGTGAAGCCCGTGAAGTCTCCTGCAGATGGGCAGGCATGTGTAGGATGAGTCACACGGTGCCTGCTACCAGCCTGCTCTGTCCCTGCTGCTCTGGGGACAGCAGTTAGCCTTGTGTCTGAGCTACCTTTGCCCTTGAGTCCTCACTCCTGAAATCTCCCAGTGATCAGAAAGCTGGCAGCGAATGCTCTTGGGAAAGTGTCTGGCATGTCTTATGTGCCTGGGTGTGCTGTTTGATTGCCGCTGCCCTTGGCTGTGGGAACTGGGACTGTGCTAGGGCAGGCACCCTGGAACTCTGCGATGATAGCTGCGACTCAGGTAAGGCCCTCCATCCTGCTCCTCTGAGCTGCACATAGTCCAGCGGTGCACGCAAGGCGGTGTGGGAAGGAGATGGACCTCCAGGTCTCGGGACGTCACTCTGAAAACCCCACAAAAGGGTGATGGTAACAGTAGATGCTAACATCTGCTTAGCACTTCTGAAGTACTGAGGATAGTGCTAAGCCAGTCTCTCTTCCTGTGGGGAGGTGGTGTTATTTTGCCATTCGTTTTTAATCTTTATAGCCACCAAGGGAGTGGATGCTTTTGTTCCCATTTTTCGGCTGGGGAGCAGAGGTTTGGGGCACAGAGGGACAGCAGGACACCTGATCCTGAGCTTGCCCTAGTGTGTCTGCAGGTACTTTTGTCACCTGGTATGTTTACAGCTCTGCCTGCCTGCCTGCCAAGCCCATTCTCTTGGGAAGCCCGGTTGCCAGAGCCCCAGGCCCACAAAAGTCAGAGTCTTCAGGCTGGGACCCAGGCACCAGAAAATGTGAAGATCTAGGTGACTTCAAGTGTGCCCCGGGGTTAAGAACAATGAACAAAGGGGAGACCTTTGAGCTGTCAGGGATTTATGTAGTAGAAATGCACACAACAATGCAGCGATGAAAGCGGTATGTTTCACCCAAGCAGGTAGCAAAGCCCCTGTCCTCAGCACATGCCATCCTAGCGTCTTGTTAGAGCTGCACTGTGGGGCTGAACCCCTCCACCAAGGTTTCCAAAGAGACCATGCTGAGCGGGATGGGGAGACACTGCTCATGTCCTCAAGGTGTGCCTGGAACACTGAAGAACTGAAGGATGGTCTGAAAGTCACCTAATTTAGACCACTCACCCTGTCGTCTTTTTTTCTGAGGCTCATGGGTCTCAGGAAAGGATGGGCTGATGGGGAGGAACATGGTCGGGTCGTTAGCCAGCAAAGTTCTCACACGCTATCCCTGCTGGTCCTGTGGCGGTCCTTAGGAGTCTGTATTTATGTCTGTACGTCTTGTTCCAAACTGATTGCTGAGGCCTTTATAAAACACCCAAGAATTTCTTCAGCATAATGAGGTGGGGTTTTTTTTGTTTGTTTGTTTTTGTTTTTGTTTTTTCTTTTTTTCATACTGATCATAGTAGTTCGGAAGGGATTTTTTAAAAAAATCCTTGTTTTATTTAAACTTGCAGTTTTAAAATATCTTTGAATGGTAGTTGAGTCAAGTGGTATTTTAGGGAGTGCTGAACCTGTTTAAATGTTGTAGGAATCCGTCAGCTTGCTTCTTAGATTCTCACATTTCTGCATGCCTGCCTTTTCCTCAGTGTTACACACACACACACACCCCTATAAGTGCTCACTGACATTGAGAGACTGGGTTGGTGTTGACCTGGGTCTGGCTACATGATGGTGATTGTCCTTTATTATTATTATTATTATTATTATTATTATTATTATTATTATTATTATTATTATTATTATTGGTGTTTTGTCTTTATGTCTGTGTGTGGGTGTTGGATCCTGGGTTTACAGACAGTTGTGAGCTGCCATGTGGGTGCTGGGAATTGAACCCAGGTCCTCTGGAAAAGTAGCCAGTGCTCTTAACCACGGAGCCATCTCTCCAGCCCCGATGATTATCCTTCTAGTGGGATAAACAGCGGGGCTGATGGTTGGGTGGCCAGATGACGTGACAGGGTGTCCTCATTACAAGCGTGTGGCTTACCATTCCTTGGTCCCAGTGATAAGAAAGACCTACTGTGCGTTTCGGTCCTGAGTGTGGAAGAGCTCTTCTCTCTGTGAACTTCTGTTTTCAGAACCAACGTACAGTGCAGTGAGCTAAGAATACAAGAACTAGTTGAGAGATGGAGAGGGATGGAGTCTATGCTTCAGTGGAATGTGCGTGGAGCAGGGGGAGGACTTCACTTCCGGTTCTGTTGTTGGAGTAGAGACCCATAGGATGTATGTAGCCTTTGCTGTCTGTGAAGCAAGCGTTCAAGACAGAGGGAACTGAAAGGCAAAGGCTGTGATAGCCTGCTTAGTGTTTCTGGGGAGGGGATGTAAGAGAGAAAGCTGGGAGCACCTATCTTGTGGAGTTCAACTCCAGCATTGTGGAGACAATTTAACATTTCACACTTTAGTCTCTAACATGTCCAGATGCCATTGGGAGCTGTAGTCTTGCCACTGTTAGTATAAAAGTCCTGTACTAACAGTTTGTAAATATTCTGTTGGCTACTCCCTGGATAGAACACTGAATTACCCAGAATTTTTTTATGCCCATTTTCTTTCTGTATCTCTTAAAGATCCATGATCATCTCTAGTTAAAATAGATGACGTGGTCTCTGAGGTTTTCACATCTCATGGTCAAGCCTGATGATCTGCCAGGCCTTGGCTGGGGGAGTGATGGATGCGGGTTGGAGCTGTTGAACGGGACCAACTGAAGACATGCACCGGGCATCTTAAGAGGTGTGAAAGCAGCATTGTTTTTTCCTCGTGATCAGGCGATTTGAGGGAGATTAGTATAGCTAGAAATTTGCCTCTGTTCAGTGATTTCATCTTAACATGTGTAGGACAGAAATGTTCCCTGAGGTCTAAGGCCTCTGGCAGGTGCCGTGTGCCGCTGTCCGTGGGAGCAGGGCAGGGTATGCTGTCCGTGCACTGTGCTGATGGTCCTGAGCATTTCTGGGCTTTCTCTCTCTTTCATGTAGGAACATACCCTTGTCAAGAAAAGAGACTATTCGTGTTTTCTTTTGGGTTTATCTCATTGTTCATGCTTCAGTCCTTGGTTATTATTTCATTGTTAGAAGGGTGAGCTGTCAAAGTGCAGCCCTTATAATAACAGTGATATCAGTGTTAGCTGGAAATCATTACAGGTGTGCCACCCGGGGGCCGGAGAGCTAGAGGTTAAGAGCACTTGTTCTGTCCGGCGGAGTCCCTGGGTCAACTCCCAACACCTATGTGGTGGCTCATAACCATTCATAACTCTGGCTATAGAGAATCTGATGCCCTCTTCTGACCTCTGTGGGCACCAGGCATGCGTGTGATGGCACAGACACACATGCAGGCAAGACATCCATACGTATAAAGTCAAAATCAATAAATAGTTTTAAAAAATATGCCACTCACTACAGAGGATGAGGAAAAGAGGGTGTACTATAGACATCAATATTTTTAATTTTCACTTGTGATGAACTAAAAATCCATAGTGGAAAATTTAGCATCGTAGCCATTTTTAAATGTTTATGCCTGTGAGGTATTTTCACATTTAATGTTGTGAATCTCTAAAACTTTTCATCCGGTAAGTCCCTTCAGCCATGAAGCCCTCTCTTTTCCCTTCTGTGCATGGTCTGGAAGCCACGCCCGGCCTGGGTCTGTTTTTGATCGCCCTGGGTGCATCCTCAACAGCGTCACGTGCTGTCAGTCTTCACTGCATTGTCACTGTGGTTGAATTCCCCTCTAAGCCTGGCTGCATGTCCATCTCGGTCCATCCTTCAGCTGCTGGACCTGGGGTTGCCTTCCATGTCTCGAGCTTGGTGAATGATGTTGATGGGAACTTGTGCATATTCCTCCAGGATTCTGCTTTCAGTCATTTTGGCTATATACCCAGAAGCAGGTTTGTTCTGTTTTCCATCGTTTGGAGGGACTTGGGCGGCTCCTCCCAGCGCAGATGCACCTGTGCGAATGCGCACACATCTGCTGCTGGTCCACCTCAAGCCCAGATCTACTAGAACAGAAACAAAAAGTTGCAGATATGTGCCTTCTTCCTAGACATTGCTATAGTGAACACACGGATGAGATGCTAATCTTGCTTGGGGATGTTGGCCAACAGGTGAGCCGGCTCCTGATTCTGGGAGGGGCCAACGTGAACTACAGGACAGAAGTGTTAAATAACGCCCCCATCCTGTGCGTCCAGTCTCACCTCGGCCACGAGGAAGTTGTCACGCTGCTTCTGGAGTTCGGCGCTTGCCTGGATGGGACGTCAGAGAACGGCATGAATGCGCTCTGCTATGCGGCTGCCGCGGGCCACATGAAGCTGGTGTGTCTGCTGACCAAGAAGGGCGCGAGGGTAAGCTGCTGCCTCCTTGACGGGGAGGATGGCAACAGGGGCGGGGAGATATCTTCCTGTCATTCCTGGGGTTGTTGACCCCTGGGCCAGTCTTCATGGTTTTCAGCTCCGTCCGGTGCGGTGAGTGGCGACATTACAGAATCAATGTAGGAGATCTGGGTGTCTGAGTGGGAGCCTCAGGAGAGAGGGAGCCGTATAGTAAGCCTGCCACGTAGGCTTGATGTTGTATGAGGCAGATTCCTGGCCATTAGCCACATGGGCAGTGCCATCCCGAATTGTTTGGAAGATTTTTTTCTGAAGTTTTTTTCTCCCTACATTGTGTGTGTGTGTGTGTGTGTGTGTGTGTGTGTGTGTGTGTGTGTGTATGCACATGTATGCATGCATGTATATGCTATGCTACACATAAGGGGGTTAGAAAACAGTGCTGGAGGGAGTTGGTTCTCTCCTACTGTAATCACATGTGCAAGCAATTGCCTTTCCCTGTTGGAGCCATCTTGCCAGCCCTGTTGGAAAGATTTTAAATGTTTACCCCAGCCCACCCTGAATCCTCCGCCTTGTCCTGTTTCATGTCATGATTCTTTTAGAACAGTCCCACCAGTCCTCTGGCTCTTAGAAGTCATGAGCTTGAGCTTCGGGAACTGCCAATCATCTTTCCTTTTCCCACCCGGAACCCCGGGCTGCTGAGGCCCCCAGTTCTCACCTGTCTGTTGGAATCCCATGACACTGGCGTGAGCCTCCCACCAGCTTGTTGCTGTTCCCATGAGATAGCTGGTACCTGACACATCAGGGTGGAACTACCAGGCTCGGCATAAGCCCTCTTTAGCTTAGTATCAGCAGGTACCCATTTCACAGGCAAATGAGCCTGTTGAGTAACAGTGGGTAAGTTAAGTTTAGAGTGGATTTAGTTAAGTTAGGCTTTAGTAGGTACAGAAATGGTTTCTGTTGTTGTTGCTGAACCTTAGCATCAGTGTTTGGGGTGCCTGTCTTACTGCTGTGTGGCTCACTCCCAATTTCTGGATGGCAGCTTTCTCTTAGCCATCTTCTGAGGCCAGTGGTTCCTCTTCTGTCACATCAAAAGCTTTTGGGAAGAGTCTAGCTGCCCTGTTGGGGACTCTTGCAGAGTCCAGGTCATGGACTTGGGTGTCCCTAACCTTGGAAACATGTCAGAGCTGAACCCTGGGCTCCCCTTCAGTCCTAGGACACCAGCGTTTAAATGAGGAGTGCTGGGTGTGTCTTCAGGAGGTGTGCAGCGCTCACACGTTCTGCTGACTAGCTGCCATCTCCTGGCTTTGTGGCTTTCGTTTATAAGCCAGTATGTCCCACGTCACCTCCCTGCATGTTATCCTTCCTGTGTTCCTGTGTTCTCTAGATCCTTTTCTTTCTTTGGCTCCCTGGTTCAGTGAGCAATACCTGCCACCACCACCCCAGATCTCAACCTCCCAGAGCAGCCTGCAAGTGCTTCACCTAAGTACCGCATTGGGAAGCATAGGTCTTTGACTGAGGGTTTGATCTCTGAGCTCTGTGTAGTTTGCTGAGAGATGTGTTCGTGAGGAGACTGTCTTGTGGTTGCTAGTTCTACAGAGGGAACGCAAGGCCTGGATTAGTGTTCTTATCGCAGTGAAAGAAGCCACGGGTTCAGTGCTGTCCAGAAAGCAATCTGGATTGTGAGCCTTTGTTCCTCTGCAGCGGCATGAATTTGCACGTAGCCTGCAGGGCACCCTTGTTCTCAGTGTACAGGGGATGTTCACCTTTGCTCTTGCCCTGCTTCTGCCTTCCAGGTGGACCACTTGGATAAGAAGGGTCAGTGTGCCCTCGTCCACAGCGCACTGCGAGGCCACAGTGACATTCTCCAGTACCTGCTGAGTTGTGAGTGGTCAGCCGGTCCTCCCCAGCCTGGCACACTAAGGAAGACCCAAGCCCTGCAGCAGGCGCTGACGGCAGCCGCCAGCATGGGCCACTGCTCGGTGAGTGGGGCTGTGGGCTTCCTTCCTGAGATAGGAGATGCTGTGTCGCAGTACTTCACTTGTTTGGTCCCAACCTTCTAAGCTGACAGCCACAGGCAACAAAAGGAAACAGGGATTTCGAGAAGGAGTCATTGGCCCTGAGCAGTAAAGGGCTTCTGGCGACTGTGTCCTTGCCAGGAGTGGGGTGGTGAGCACAGGTTTCCTCCCGCCCACAGCTCTGGTGGCTGCTCGCTGTTTGTCTTGTCTTGTCTTGTCTTCCCCTCCTCCTCTGCTCTTACCCTCTACCTGGCTCTCTTTCCTCCCAGCCCCTTTGGTTCCTTCTTTTGTCTTTATAGCCTTTAAGAAACAATCCCATGGAACCCTAGTTCTAAAATCACTCTGGAGTGTTTGAAGGGCTTTTAAAAATGGAGGTTGGGTCCTTTTGAGAGCCTGTGAGAACACTCATTTTTCAAAGTTCCAATACTGAAGGAAAGATTCAGCACAGCGTTTCTCTCTGGTAGATGACACTAGCTCTAGGTTTGAAGATTTAATTGTCCTCAGCTGGCCTGTTTCTCTGCCTTGGCTGTGATTATGACAACATTTGCTCCCATCTTGCTGTGTGTTTCTTACTCTTTGCTATCTTCAAGCCATTGGAGGTGCCAGAGTTTGGTGGTGTTCTTTCCCCGAAATGACTGGAATTTGAATGCCAAGCTGGCTTCCTGCATTTGGCACTCACACACGATGGCAGATGCACATACAAGCATGCATTGCTGGGTGGCTGATACTTGGTATGCATAAATTACAGTGTTAAATATACGCATCTGAAAGTGTAGGTGTTTTCCTATTTTATACGAGACCTCAGGTAGCCTAGTCTCTGTAATTCTAGATCTTCCTGCCTCTGTCTTCCAAGTGCTGGGACCACAGGCATGGGGACCATGCTCTGCCTCCTCCTTCAACTGAATGAGTGGGTACGGTGTCCAGGAAGTCATCCGGGAGGTGTGTGGTGCACACCCACACACAGTGCACATTCTCTTCTTAACTCGTGTTCACCACTCAGGAGCTGGCCTGGAGAACACTGAGCAGAAACTACCTCAGAGCAACCACTAACATTTCAAGCAGAAAAGCAAGACTTCTTAACCAGAGTCCCGAAGAGGACATCAGTTTCCGAACACCATCACAGTGAAGGGCACCCTCTCTGCCACTAAAACACAGCGCACACTTAATCTTAATGCTTTGGGGGGGTCTGAAATCTAAAACTGAGGTGACAAGAGGCCAGCCTCCTCCCTGAAGGCTCCAGGAGAGAGCCTCTCCTGTCTTTGCTAGCTTCTGGAAGCCACCGCCTTCCTGCCTCAGGCCTGCTTCCTCCATCTCCAGTGTGTGCGACCTCACTCACCATCCCTGCTCTTCCCTCCTCTGACCCAGATTCCCTCTGTCCAGTTCTTAGGAATGTCATGGTTGTACCGGGTATGAGAGACTATATGACGGACTGTATACCCAGACAGTTCCACATAATGACCCTACTGCAGGGTCTGTGTCTTCCTCCTGCCACTTATGGAGCACTCGGAGCTTACATGGGCTAGGAGTAGACCCAGTCAGCGTGCTGCAGACAGTACAGATTGGGAGGCTGGAAAATGGCTTTGTCGGATCCTCCTGTCACTCAGGATGACACCGGCTCTGGCCCAGGGCACAGATACTTCACCTCCTCGAGAGCTGGCTTTCCTGCTCCCAGCTTGGGACCTGCTCTGCTCTTTGACAGGAAGATCCCCAGAAGGGAGAGGAACAGTGCTGTCAGTAGAAAATCATCTGGACAATCCTGAAAGAGATTTTTCATTGTGAAAGAAATATATCTCACCTTGTTTCCTTTCCCGGTGAAGAGTGACCTAATGCTGATTTATGCAGAACTTCACTCTGTGTGATCCGCTGGGTCCGTGGTTGATTACGTTGGCATATTTGGGTCACGTTGGAATTCATTAGAATTTTGAGTACCTGAATGGAGTTGTTGAAATTCACTGAGATTGTTGTTTTTTTTTGTTTTTTTTTTTAATTCTCCAAGTGAAAGTGTGAATAGCATACGAATCATGCTTGAAAATGGTTTTCATTCTGTTTTCTCTGCTTGTGCAGCACAAGATAATAATGGTTAAAAACCCCCACAACACTCTCTCCTTTGATATGTGGGCTATAATAAGCACCAATGCTCTGAGCGCTCATTAAATCACCTTGCCACGTCTGACAGGTCGTCCAGTGCTTGCTGGGAATGGCAGAGCAACATGAGATCGAAGTCAATGGCACCGACACGCTGTGGGGAGAAACAGGTAATTATGCTCCCATCGTTTGTAGTCAGGGGCCACTTTCCTGATGTCTCAGCCCCCACCGTGGCCTGATTGTCTTAAGAATGGCTGGTGATGTGTGTCGTCCTGTTTTTACTTTGTCACAAGAAACTTGAAGCTTAAAGCCTTTCAGACTTGCCAAGTGAGTAGTAAGGCTTCCCTGGAAGCAATAAAGGGGACTCATTTTGCGTTAGACCAGCAATTACCATGCACTTGAGAAACATGTGATGGAAATGCTTCTGGTTCACACATGCCCTAACCCCACCTGATCCTGCCTTGATGCCTGCCAAGGGGCCCCATTGTCAAGTGAATCAAGGACGCTCAGAGGGGAAGTATGACTTGCTCTGCCTTGTGGAATGAGGACAGAGCTCCGGTCTCCCAGCCCAAGCTACAATGCTCAGTACAGCCTAAAGCTCCTTTCTGTTGGTTGGGGGAGGGGGTCTGCCTGACTTTGTGGGATGGAAGATTATCAGATTAATGAAGATGGCTGCTGCTTTAGAATTTTCCGTTCAACACATGTAACTAAGAGGCATGATAGGTTTCCCGGCTTTGTGTACGATGCACGTGGCCGTCATGTCTCTTGCACAGATTTGTTTCACACTGCTTCTAAGATATTTCCTAGCAGAGCAGATGGTGGTGTGGAGAGTTTATTAGCTCCATCACACCTGGGAGGAGCCTCAGACATTTTCCTGGTGGGAGAGCAGGCTGCCCTTCAGAGCCACATGGCCGTTTTCAGAAGCCACCATCGGCTGGCTTCCTGTGGCTTGCTATGGACCAAAGGAGGAGTGGGGTATGGCATGAGTTGCAGAGAGCATGTAGGGCTCCAGATGGTGTTGATCAGACCTAAATTTCTGTCTCCTCCCCATTGAGATTCTGACAGTTGGTTGATGTCTAAAGAGACACTTGAGAAATTGAAGACTTCTCACTTAAAAACAACAACAACAACAAAAAGGTACACATTTATTACCCCACAGTTCCTGAGAGTGAGAAGTCTAGGCTCAGCGGGGCTGAGTCCTGTGCTTCAGGCTCTCACCTGCCCATGGTCTAGGTGTTGGCTTGAGCTGTGTTCCCGTCAGAGGCTCACCAGCTTCCAAGCACTGAGGCCATGGACAGGATTCATCTCCTCGAAACTGCACATGAAGGTTCAACTCTGCAAGAAGACAGAGTTGTTCAGCCCTTGTCCTATGAGGCCTTACACAAATGTTCAGACGTTGTGACCTGGAAAACAGTTCTGTTGTCATCAGTAGGGACTTGGATGAATTTAATCAGATTTTGACTTGGGGGTTTTTCTTATTTTATTTTATTTTAAGAATTTCGTGCATCATCTTAATTGTATTCTTTTTCCCCTCCCCTTCAGCCAACTTCATGCTTTCTTTCTCTCAAGAAACAGACACAAAACAAAAGCACTTCCTTCCCCTGTAAAATCCCATTGTGTGGGCTGACAGAGGCCTGTGCCTGGAGTGTGGTTGGTAAACCCAGTGTCACTCCATTGAAGAAAACTGATTTCCTCTCTTTTAGCAGCTGTCAGTTGCAAATGGCTTCTTGGCTAGGGGTGGGAATTGGTGCCTGCCTCCCCTCCTCTGTGCTAGAACTTTGTCTAGTGAACAGGTCTGGGGAGCAGAAGAGCACACTGATTCTGGGAGTCTCTTAAATAGGAGTCAGGCTCAGCATGATTCTTGTCCCAGAGCCCAGTGGTTGGTGGATTGGCTGGAGTTCCGGTTAGAACTCTGGGCTCAAATTCCAAGCAGGCCCAGATATTTGAAGTTAGAGAGGTGGGTGATAGGTCATTGACAAAGGGGACCGACCTGTTGTTCTTGTTGCCTGAGGTGGCCTTGGTAGGCCCAGAGTTCAGTAGGAAGACCAAGCTAGCTTCCAGCTTTAGTCAGTCTTACCACCCTACCCTTCTAAGTTTCGGATTATAACTGTGCACCACCATGCCCAGAAGCCAAGAGCTTTATTGAGAGAATTTTAAATTTTAACATCCTGAGTAAGAAAAAGCAAGGCCAGCTGTCTGTCAGGCTTAGAGAGCCACTGAAGCTCTCCAGGAATTGTGTATCAGTAAAACCATGACACCCTGGCTGGCGTGTTTCCTGCATCCCTGATGACTGATGTCTGCCCAAACCTTCCTGCCTCCCACAGCTGTGCATTTCAAGGGGGAGCAGCCCGAAACTTTGCAAGGCGTGCTTTAGATGAGAGAACACCAGCAGATACTGGGGTTCACTGCACGTGTGCCATCCAGAAGCTGAGGTCTGTGTTTTGGATTTGGCTATTGGGGTCTTTTCCCTGACTCCAAATGTGGGAATGATTGAGATGGGGGGTTAGGGGAAGTAAGCAAGACCCCAGCTTAGTACATCCTGCAGTGATGGCGATCACACGAGCCAACAAGTCACAGCCTTCCCTCATCACCAAGCTTCCTCTAAGCAGCAGAGCCTGGCCTCTCGTCAGCAGGGAGGCGGGGGAGCATTGCACGAGCCTTCTGGTTCTCATTGCTGTAGGAGTTCTCAGGCCTGAAAGCGGTTGCTTAGTCAGTGGCTTTGTTGGGTCCTCATTCCAGAGTGTTCTCCACAGTGCTTTGTGTCTAGAATATCCAGGATCCCGAGAGTGATCCTGGGAGGGAAGGTGGAAGGACCACGGGTGCTCCACATGGAGAATGCACTCCTTGTTTCTCCTGGAACCCTGGACTCTGTTTACAAGTCCGCCGTGAACAACCTGGCTTTAAGATGTTGGCTGGCAGGTGTAGAAAGCGGTTTCCATATCTGTTTCAGGCTCACCCACCCGTCTTTGAAGGGTGCACTGTTTTCCACGCAGTGGCTCTGCCCTGTTTGCGTGCACATCTGCTCCCACAGCAGTGAGATGCTCAGAGGTGGCCGCCAGCCCCTGCGCAAACACATTTCCCCGCTGCCCTGTCAGGACAGACTTGCAGGCTCTGTGCACCTGCCTCACGGGGCCCAAGTGTGGGCATCATGGCTTCTTCTGGTTGAAAGAGATGGGTTGTCTGATGACTGCCCTCGGCCAGAGAGGCCAGTGCGAGACCTCGTTGGGTGGAGTAGTCGAGAGGAGGCATGGCCTGCAGAGTCTAAAGACTTTTATCTAAAACAATGTTTAGTCTGGGTACTGTGGTGAACCCATAGGTTTTAGAAGCCCCCAAGTGCCTGCTGCTTTGGGGAGCAGAGGGCTTTATTTAGCAAAACCTACCTTTTCACAGCTTTGTCCAGTGTTTAGAGACAAGCCGTTCAAAGTTAGTTCTGTAGCTGCTATAGCTCTGAGCTACTGCCCTCCTTTTCTCCTTCTCCCCTTCCTCCTCCTACTCACCCTCAGTAGAGAATAGTGGGTGTTACTTGTTAGCAGACACCAACCGCACCACCCTTGAGGCTGCCACCCCCTCCCCCCCCAGACTGCCAGATGACCAACGGTTGCAGTTTCTTAGCAGGAGCCCATCCGATGCTCAGGTTATCTGTCTCGGTGTTCCACAGCCATGACAACTCAGCCCTGGCTCCCAGGGAGTCCCGACTGATTTGACTTACTGTTTCCATGGCAATGTTGGATGTGAATCAGCCCAAGCTGAAGTGACCAGGGACGCTCAACCGGTGACCTAATGCTGTGCTGTGGGAATCGGCAGAGCAAGTTCCCACACTCCAGGCTCCTGTCCAGTGGGGTCTGCACCCTGCTTCTGGCTGTTAAGCCTCCCTCTTGGAGTAGATGGAAGCAGGGCCCTCGTTTTCCAGCTTGTTGTCCAGGAACAAAGGCTTGCCCCAGATAGATCTCATCTGCCTCTCTTTGCAGGCCTTCTCCAGGGACTGTTGAGCTGGTTTTGGGGGAGAGGCTATGGTCCATGCACCGTGAGCTTCGAGGGAGCTGGAATTCCTGCATTTCTTGCTCCCACGTGACTTGGCTTGGTGCTGTCCGGGGGAGCAGGGTTAGAGGTGTTGGGCCACTCATGCTATCAGTTGCCTCCCTGCGTGTGTCTGCTGAATAGAGTGGACGGTGTTGGTCTAATCTAGGGCTTGCTGTGTGGTATTGACCAAGTGACAAGAGTGAAAAAAAAGAAAGCCTTACGGCTTTAAGGCACAGGATGTTCATTTTTTAGAATTGTTTGGTAGAAGTACTTGGTGGATAGGGACAGGGCAAGGGACCAGTGACATGGTTTTGGTAGTCTTGTCCTGCCTTGTTGGATTCACAGCTCTGTGCACGCGTGGTGTGTGTATGTGTAGGGGGGTTTGCCAGCTGCTGAGTGTAGTGTGGGGATGGATCCTGCTCCCCTCCTTCCCCTTGTGTCTGTAATATCCCCCTCTCCTGGGCCCTCACCTGCTCTCCAGCAAGCTGCGTATCCTGGCTGGTGTCCCCGGAGCCTCTCTGTCCTGGGCTTTGAGGATAAAGGACGTTGCTGCGTCTAATTTACGAAGGGGAGTGCCCCGGCACGTCCCATTAGGGCTGGGTGGGACCGACTGAGGTACTTGGCGTGACGTGCGCGTCTCGAGTCTGTGCTGTTTTCGTTGGTGAACACTCCCAAAGCGGTTTGGTCATCGTGAACAGTTGGCTCCCATCTCCCATTGCCAAAGCTGCTAACGAGGCTCGCTTTGCTGCCGTTCCTAAGGTGAACTCTAAGTGGGGCGGGAGGAAGCACATCACCTAGTCTTGCTTCACTGTTGGCCGTTTCTGGGCGGAGCCAAGCCACTTCTGTGACGAGGCATAGCCCTGTCAGATGGGTGCCCTGTGCCCAGGCCTCCATGGAGGAGAAGTCTGGGTCACCTTCCCTCCGCGTCTCCAGGTCAGGTCTAAGAAGCGAATAATGAGCTTTCCTGGTTCTCACCCTCAGGTCGAGCCACTCTGGACCCTGTGTGCTTGAGTGACAGACCTGTTCCAACATTTTATAAACAGCCCTGGGGATTAAATGACTGTGTTCCCAGCAAGCTGACAGTTGAGGGTTGCCTTTTTTTTTTCTTTTTCTTTTTTAATCAAATCTCTGCCCAGAGTACTTCAATATG